ACAGAAAAAATCACCTGACAAAATTCAACCCTCATTCATGATTAAAAAAAAAAATTTTCAGAACACTTTCTCAACTTGATAAAGAATATCTACTAAAAATCTGTAGCTCACATCATACCTACTGGTGAAAGACTGAATGCTTTTCCCCAAAGATTAGAAGCAAGGCGAAGATATTCCCTCTCGCCACTCTTATTCAACATAGTACTGGACATTCTAGCCAGAATAATAAGGCAAGAAAAGAAAAAAAAGGCATATAGATGGGAAATGAAAAGAAATAAAGCTATTTTTTTTTTGCAGATGACACTATAGTCTATGTAAAAAATCCCAAGGGATCTACAAAATACCCTAGAACTAGTAAGCAAGTTCAGCAAAATCACAGGACACAAAATCAAACTACAAAAACCAACTGTATTTCTATATGCTAGCAATGAACGTGTCAAAACCAAAATTTAAGATACCATGTCATCTGCAATTGTTAAAATTAAATACTAAGGCCTAAATTTAACAAAACATGTGCGGGACTGGATGCTGAAAACCACAAAATGCTGATGAAAGAAATCAAAGAAAATATACATAAATGGAGAGACATACTGTGTTCACTATGAGAATCCCAGCTGACTTTTTGCAGATAGGGATAAGATTATCTAAAATTTATATAGAAATGCAAACAAACTAGAATAGCCAAAACAATTTTGAAAAAGAAGAATAACGTGGGAGGACTCACTCTACCCTATACCCAATTTCAAGACTGTTTTACAGCTACCGTAACCAAGACTGTGTGGTATTGGCAGAAGGTAAAGCACACATATCAGTGGAACAGAAGAGAGAAACCAGAAAGAGTCCCCACACAAGTACAGCCAACTGATTTTTGACAAAAGTGCAAAAGCAATTCAATGGAAGAAGGATAATCTTCTCAATAAATGATGCTGAAGCTGTTGGACACCCATCAGCAAAAAAAATTAAAAATAATTTTAAAATATTGACTTGAAACTCTCACACCTTATACAAAACTTAACTAAAAATGAAGCATAGATTTAAATATAAAACATTTGGAAGATAACATAAGAGAAAGTCTAAATCTTTGGGACCTAGGGCTTGGTAAAGAGTTCTTAGGCATAATCCCATAAATGAAAAAAATTGACCAATTGGACTTCATCAAAATTAAAAACTTTTTATCTGCAGAAGATCATGTGAAGAGGATGAAAAGGCAAGCTACAGACTGGGAGAAAATACTTACAAACCTCACATCTGATAAAGGACTCATATTGAGGAGATATAAAAAACTCTCAAATGTCAAAAGTAAAACAAAGAGTCCAGTTACAAAATGGGTAAAAGACATGAAGGAACATTTCACTGAAGAAGATATACAGGTGGTACCTGAAAAGATGTTCAACCCTTAGGGAAAGGCAAATTAAGACCACAGTGAGATATCAGTACATACCTATTAGAACAGCTGAAATTAAAAATTGCTGCAATACAAACTGCTGGTGAAGATGAGGAGAAACTCTCCTACATTGCTGGTGGAATGTTAAATGGTACAACTCCTCTGGAAAAGTGTTTAGCAGCTTCTTAAAAAACTAAATACACACTTAGCATATGACCCAGTAATTGCACTCCTGGGCATTTATCTTAAAGATATGGAAACTTATGTCCACACAGATCTGTACTTGATTATTCATAGCAGCTCTAATGTAACAGTCATAAACTGGAAACAACCAAAATGTCTCTCGATAGGTGAATGGTAAAACACACTGTGGTACAACCTCACCTTACAACACTAGTCAGCAATAAAAAAGAGTCAACTATTGAAACACAACTCAGACGGATCTCAATGGCATTTGCTGAGGGGAAAAAAGCCAGTCTTAAAAGGTCTCTTATTTATGATCCATTTATATATCGTATGATACTATTTATATAACATTCTTGAAATGACAAAATTACAGAGATGGAAAACATATCTGTAGTTATGAGGGGTTAGGGATGGTGGAGGAAAGGGAGTGTTTGGAGTATAAAGCACTAGCAGAAGGAGACCTTTGTGGCGATGGAATAGTTCTGTATTTTGATTGTGCTGGTGGTTTACACCAAACTACACATGTGATAAAATGACATACAGTAAACTAAACACACGCCATGTGCCAATGTCAGTTGCCTGGTTTTGATATTGTACTGTAGTTACGTACGATGTAACCCCATGAGTGGCACATAAGACTTTTCTGTACTGTTTTTACAACTTCCTGTGAATCCCTATTTCAAAATAGAAAGTTTTTAAAAATAACCTAAAATTTTTTTAAATGGATTGCTGTTCCATTGAAACTCACTAATTACTCATAAGTACTTTTGAAAATCATTTTATAAAGACCTTTATTGTAGATTGGGGTAAAGCTGGGAGGGATAGTTGTTTAAAACAGAGGTTTCAGTGAGAACTTAAAGCTTAAATCAGAGGTTTAGACCTCAAAAGGAGAGTCAAAGAACAAACCACAGGGTCGGAAAATATATTTGCAGCACATGAACAGTAGACTAAAACATTCCTATAGGTTAATAAGAAAAGGACAAACAACCCAGTGGGAAAAGGCTCAAAAGATCAGGCACTTTGCAAGAGAGGAAATCCAAATGACCAATATAACATGAAAAGATGTCCAATCTCACTAGTAATCAGGGAAATGCAAATTAAAACCACGAGCTACTACTATACACCCACCAGACAGATAAAAATTAAGAGGTCTGATGACACTAGGTAGTAGCAAGGATTGGAGCAAAAAGAGCTCTCATATGCTGCTGTGAAAGTGTAAATGAGTCTATTAAATATTCTGGAAAACAGTTTGGTAAATCTAGTACTAAGGACCAAGATACACATTCCTCATGTCCCAGCAATTTTATTCCCAGGTTAAAAACAAAACAGAAACATGTGCTTATGTGTACTGAGATACGTAGACAAAAATATTCAAATAACACTGCCTGTAAGAGCCCCAAATTGGAAACAACCCAAGTGTCCAGGAATATTAAGATGGATAAACAAACGATGATACGGTCATTCAAGAGAAGAGTATTCAACACTGGAAATCAACTAAAGATAAATGCCACACGTGGATGAATCATAAAGATACAAAGTTGAGTGAAAAGGGGAAGGAAAATGTAGAACAGATACAGCATGATTCCACTTGTCTGAAGTTCACAAGCAACCAAATTAAACCCTGTTCTTAGGTAGCAAAACTATAAATAAGAGCAAGGAAGTGAACACCGTAAGAATCTAGTTGTGGTTAGCGCTAGTGGAAGGAAGGTTTTCATCTGGAAGGAACACAAGAAGCGCTTCCGGGGAGCAGAGTATGTTCTGTTTCTTGACCTGGGTAGAGTTACACAGGTGTTCATCTTACAGTTTGTTAAACTTTATGCCTATGCATTTTCCTGTATATTTCAAAATGTTCAAAAGTTTTATATTGTTTTCAGAAAGAAACTTTATACAAATTAGTGTACTGCACCTTTAGATAAGACTTTACTAATACTTCCCCTCCTATATTTTTAACAACCCACAAACTGACACTCTCCAGTCTTATTATGGTGGCTTGGGCTACATCACAGAGCTCTCAGAGCGCTCCTCCTATACATGAATCCCTCTTAGTAAGTCTAGCCTGCTATCTATGGCTCTGTTCTCCACGAAGACAAAAATGCAGGGCTTCCCCGGTGGTGCAGTGGTTGAGAGTGCGCCTGCCGATGCAGGGGACACGGATTCGTGCCCCGGTCCGGGAAGATCCCACGTGCCGCGGAGTGGCTGGGCCCGTGAGCCATGGCCACTGAGCCTGCGCGTCCGGAGCCTGTGCTCCACAACGGGAGAGGCCACAACAGTGAGAGGCCCGCGTACCGCAAAAAAAAAAAAAAAAGCAAAGAAAAGAAAAATGCAGATTGCCCCCATCTCTAAGCCTTTTGGAATAAATGTTAATAGCGTTCGTTTAGTGAGTATTGACCCTGTGCCAGGCACTTGCCCAGTTCCTTATAGAAATACTATCTGGCTTAATGAATGGAATCCATTATTGAAATTTCTCATTTAATCCAGATCAGTGTCCTAATAATTCATCTCATTAAACCCACTTTAAGCTCCCTCCTTGTTCTCTAGGCCTTCTTCTAGCTGTGGGTCTAGTTCAGGTTAAGGCCATTCGTCAGCCAGAGGAGAAGTGCTAGATGGGGCAACGTTATTTTTGATTCCTCTGTGTCAGTGTCCTGTATCCACAGCTGAGTGGCCACACACACACACACACACACACACACAGTTGCCCAAGGCTGCAGCATACTTAAAGTGGTCATTTTTCTGGAACCTTTGGGTTATGTTCTGCCATCACCAGGCTTTCTCCACGTCAGCATCATTGACATCTGGGGACGGCTCACTCTTTGTTGTGGGGCTGTCTTGTGTATTGTAGGATATTTAGCAGCATCGCTGAACTCCACTCACTAGATGCCAGGAGCAAAGCACTCCCTACCCCACCGCTTAGACTGTGGCCACCAAAACTGTCTCCAGGCATTGCCAAATGTCCCCTTGGGGGCCAAATTGTCCCACTTGATAACCACTGTGCTATACTAACCTAGCTTCTGTAACTTAAAACAAATCATCTTTCTCTTTCTACTGTAAAAAGCCTAGCCTCAAAAAGCTCATAACGAATTTCCCTGGTGGCACAGTGGTTAAGAATGCGCCTGCCAATGCAGAGGACACGGGTTCAAGCCCTGGTCCGGGAAGATCCCACGTGCCACGGAGCAACTAACCCCGCGAGCCACAGCTACTGAGCCCATGTGCCACAACTACTGAAGCCCTCAAGCCTAGAGCCCGTGCTCCGCAGCAAGAGAAGCCACCGCAATGAGAAGCCCGTGCACCGCAATGAAGAGTAGCCCCCACTCACCGCAGCTGGAGAAAGCCCGCGCGCAGCAACGAAGACCCAATGCAGCCAAAAATAAATAAATAAATAGTTATTATTTTTTTAAAAGGCTCATATCTAACACTTTTATGTTCCTCTTACGTTGTTTGAATATATACAGAAGCTTCTTTCTGCCCTGTTTAACCACAGAGAAACGGAACACCACGAAGGACGCCAAGAACAGCACTGCAGTCGACGTCAGTGCAAGAAAGAAGATAATGATCCGGGTGGTGTGACCTTTAAAACAGAACAAAAGGAGAAATTCAGACAAAAATAAAAGTTTGCAAATATGCTGATATTTATATTTGCGTTTGTAAACCCTTAAGCATGGGAAGTCGTGCCTTGGGCATCTCCCACCAGCTATCTTAGTAAACTTGCCTGCTTGTTAAGAAAACTTTTTTTTACAACCTTAGTCATTTTCCTAGAAGCCCACAGAAATTAAGTGGTTTGGCCTTTCTAGCCTATAGGAAACATGGAACTCTATAATCGCCATTACTTGGCGTTATCAAAGGCGTGGTGTCTGTTTGGGTGCAGTCTCGCCTTGCTCTGCTTACTAATGTGGAATTCAGAGTGAATAAGAAACACCCGAAGAAATGGATGGGTCCCTTGAAGCCAGGGTAAGAGAAGGAAGGCATGTCGAGGTGCCTGCTAGAGGCAGAGATGCAAGGCATCAGGAGTGACTTAGACTCCAATCCGAATGGCCACATACATTCATTTGATTTAACAGCAACAAACCAGCTACCTGGCTCTCCCCCAGGGGCAGGCGTGACGGTGGAGGATGCACCTGGAGAGAAGTCAGCTGTTGCTGGTCCGCATACCACATCGCTTTCCTTCGTCCCATTCACAAGGACAGACTTCCCATCCAAAGAACAGCTTAGATGGTCCAATGAAAAGAGTTCAAATCATTAATTCAGGTACGGATCATTCTAATTAAAAAAGACTGACATTTTCTACCCAGTAAAGCAGTTCTGGTGAAAAAGACGTGTGGATCTGGGTTCATAGGCAAAGCAAAGATATTTTGAAAAACTTCTACTTGACCATCTGGGCGTCTACCAATGTTCACTTGGCTTTCATGGCTCTCCACAATTCATCCCACTCTATCTACCTAATTGGATTCTTCTTTCTTCCCAGGCTGGGGAGTCCTGTCCCACGACAGCTTACTTCAGGCTGTTGCCTGGTTAGTCTCTCACCCCCACCTTCTTAAGCATATTTGACCATCTCTGGCACACAGGAAGGACAGACAAGTTAGCCTAGGGTTAGGAGCTCCTAACTCCTAGGTTAGTTAGGAGACTCCTGGTCAGTCTGATGTGTTGACATCAGACTGACCAGGGTTTGAGCCCTGGGTCGGTCCCTTTGTAGAATGACCTTGGGCAAGTTGGGAAATCTCTCTAAGCCTCAGTTTTCTCATCTGAAAAATAAGATATACATGTCCCAGGGCTGTTGTGAAGAGTAAACGACACTACGTGCCTGACTTACTCCCTATAAATGGTAGCCATCCATCATCATTGTCAACATCACCATCATCATTGTCCTGTGTCTTTCCCCTGCCTCTTTTTACCTAAAACAAACCCACCTATTCTCCAAAACCCAGTTCGATCCCACTGTCCATGCAGACTCACTTCCCTGCTCTGAACTATTTGTGTCAAAAGACAAACAAACAAACAAAAAACAAAAACAACTTTCTAATCTGTTATGGACCAATACTTTTGTAACACACAATAAGAATATAAATGTAAAATAATGATAAAAATGATTTTCTAGTAAGAAGATCAAATGCAAAAAGAACAAAGGTGTACAAAATACACTGTTGGCTATTTTATTACCTGTGATAGTCTTGTCTGCCCAAGACTATGTTAAAGCTTTTGAGGGAAGGAAACATACTTTACCCTCTTCTGTATCATTATCAATGCTGGCACTGAACACTTGAAGGTGGGTTGATCAATGGGGGAAAGTCAGAGGCAGCAAAGAGATTGGAAGGACACAGAAGAACACCTGGGGCAGACAGTAGCTAAGTTCCACTGGCAAATCTGACCTCATTGTTCTGGGCAGTACTTCTGGAGAAAATGCCCACTTTGGCAATCTAGTCACAATTACCCCATACTGTTCCCATACCACCTATTTGCATGTTATTCTATGTCTACACTTGATAGGTTTAAAAAAGCGTCAGTGATCACATTCCTTGTCTTTAGAAAAGTTAAGCCAGATACTTTATTTTGTAAGCAGAAAGAAATGATACATACTCTGTCCAAGGTTTACAGTCACCATGTTCCCGATCATTAAATGTCCCAAAGGAACAGTCTTTACAACCTTTTGTAAAAATTAAAGGAATAATAAAAAAGGAAGCATTTTAATCATTTTTAACTTTCTCTGTGATGAACATGATCACATAACAACAAAGTCATTAACTTAATAATATCTGTACCGATTGTCTAACAATTCTTCCTGAATTTCATTAGTGATGAACAGTTCTTCTTGAATAGTTTGTGATGAACATAATCCCATAATAAAGTCATTAACTTAATACAATCTACATAGATTGTTCAACAGTTTTTCTTGAAATGAAACCTTAATACGACTAAAGGTTTTATTCTAATTGTACATAGACTATTGTATATGCATGTATAGGATGCATGAAAAGGCATGGTTCTGGTGAAAAACAAATGTTGTGATTTCAAATTATTTCCATTGATTGAGAAATAATTTTGTAAATATCAGATACTTAGCAGTTCATTACTATTACTTAAAGGTTCTACAAATCTACGTTTTATTTTGTAATCAAAGGACCAAGAACTAAGTTGACAACATATGACTAGACAACAAATTGGCACTAGATAGAAGAGGAAACCTACCCTCTTTTGTTAATTCTTGACCTTGTTTACAATCCTCTTCACACATGTTACATCCTTCTCCCAGGCAGTAGAATCCCGACACACACTCGCACTCTGCATTGCTGGTGGAGGAACATGCTTTCTTGGTCCTGAAAACACCTACAAAGTCCCCCAGTGTTATAATACCCTTGATCTCCAAATCCAGGAAGCAAATTTATGTTCTGCAATAAAAACCATGCTTGTTCTACTTAGAATGGTCCTAATGGTCTCAGAGTATAAAGTTTACTTTTAAATATCTATAGAAGACTTTTTTACATTTTGCTAATTAAAAAATTCTCTCTTGTCTAATGAATATTTCCTCTAATATTTAAAAAGCTCAATCCACCAATAGTTGCTATTACAGTAAATTATTTTACTGGACCTGCCTATTAACAGAGGAAGCAGCCTATTTGACACTTCAGATTTTCAAAAGAGATCAGTACATCGGGAATAAAAGCTTGTCTTCCCAACACATACCTGGATGAAGAATATATCTTTTAAATCATACCTTCACACTTCCTGCATACGTCACAGGCCTTTTGTCCACTTGTGCTGGAGAAACTATTTGAAGGACAAGGAGTGCAAAGCTCATGCTTGTTTTTCCCACAGAAAGTACCTAAAAAGGGTAGATAAGAGCTGTACATGTTTGACAATGGACCATCATCACCCAAAGCATTATGAGGTTCACAAGAAAACCAGAATATGAAACAAAGATTCGTTTTCTAGGTACCACAGTGATAGATTTTATTTGTTGATTGACTGTTTTAAATTATCCATTTGCAAGATTGCCCTAAGCATAATCACAGAATTGAAAATAACAAAGTATAGATATTGCAACAAAAAAATCAATGGAAAGAAAACAGTTTCCTTTACCTATTGAATAAAACAGAATGATTTCTCTTGATTGATCCAGGACACCAGTGACTGGATTCAGGAGATCAATGTCCTTTATTGGCACACTACAATTGAAAGGTGTCTGCCTTTTCCCACTCTGTTAAGCCTCCTGCCACTTGCTTATTCCCTGCTGCACCCCCCAGTCTGAGCACTGTCTGCACACACAAAGCTAACATTTGTTGAGGTCTTTCCCTGTGCCGTGCACTGATCTAAGCCCATCATAGGATCCTCCCAGCAATCAATCCTATGAGATAGGTTCTCATATCATCCCCAGATGATGAAGCTGGAGCACAAGAGTTTAAGTGACAAGCCTGCATTCACACAGCTAAGATGTAGCATTCAAGAAATGTAATGCAGGTTCTTGTAAATGAATGAATCAAAGATCATTATTGCGGGGGAGGGATAAATTAGGAGTTTGGGATTAACAGATACACACCACTGTATATAAAATAGATAAACAGCAAGGACCTACTGTACAGCACAGGGGACTATATTCAATATCTTGTAATATACATATATATATATAAAAATATCTTTGCTGTATGCCTGAAACTAACACAATATTGTAAATCAGCTATAGTTCAATTTTTTAAAAAAATCATTAAAACAGAGCTTATAAGCCCTGACTACCAGACTAACTGAACCATGCTTTCAGCAGAACAGATCAAGCACACATGTTATTTTGGTCCTTACCCGCTGAACAGTTACTGCAGAAATCCTGCAATGATCTTGTCCTCTCGAAATTCATGACCAACAGCACAGTAGCCACTATGTTGTAATAGAAATTTCCCATGATGAAATCTTGCATAGACGTATTAGCCAAGCAGATTCCAAAAGAATTTTAATCAAAGTAGCTGGTTTCACATGTACCACTCTGCAAAAGGTGAAAGTTTCCTAGGATGAGGTGGTTTCCCCTTTCAGAACTACCTACAGTCCAGCTATCATCTGTACAATTCTACACGATCATAACTCAGGGTTTGCAGGAAAAATGAATGATGGAATACCATGGAAAAGGTAGCAAATTCATAGAAACTTCTAGGATAAGAGAAGCGTGACTCAACACATAGCTTTCTGTAGATTTGCCAAAGTCTAAGAGTGTACTTTCCAACATGTTTTGCTGAAATGCAGAAATAACAATAGCAAGAACTTTTGGGGACTTTCATAGAGATTTAGCATTAGCATCTAGATTTCAACAATGCCTGTGGCTTGTAGCCCCTGAAATATAGTCCTTAAAGAGAGAATCTGTCAGGGGCATCCAACAGTTCAGCTCAGTGAGAAGACATCTAATTATTACCATTCTCCCTTTGTCCAAACAGCATGTGGAATTTCAACACCTAGTTGCTAAAATGTTGAAACACCTCCTTGTTCAACTCATTATCACATTTTCTTAATAGACATGTATCTGCTCATTTTGAGATTTAAAGCTCATCTAGTCATAAAACTAAAGAGTCCAACAATCTCTATAGGCCAGGTTCTTGATCCTTATTTAATGGGCTATGGAATAAAAGTTATTAGAAATTAGGAGGGAAAAGGTCTAGAAATGTACAAAGGGAACAAAGCTTCATCCTCATCCCTCCTCGGTTCCCCCCATCTATCTGCCCCAAATGGACAAACCTTGAGATCGCAGGGATGGTGGAGAACTTTCCTACTCCTTGATCTTCAGAGCAGTGAGGTTCTGCAGCTGACAAGGGCTGCAGGTCAAAGACTCAAAGAGGGGAGTTTGGTGACTCAACCGGGGGCGGGGCCTCGTGGGAAATCCCCAGAGACAGCTCTGTGAGGTAGTTCACTTGATATTTGCTGACCTCAAAGTCCCCTAGAGCTTCTGTCCCCACTTAATAACACACTTCATACTAAAAGCAGCCCTCTGCTGTTAGGGCATTTTTCAGATGACTTTGGCAAACAGATTTCGTCACTTAAAGTAGTTCTCCATGTCAAAGCTTTTAAGGCATCCTTAAAATATTTGAGATTTGAAGGATGAAACCCACTTCTACTAAAGAAAGGTCAGAGGCTTCCCTGGTGGCGCTGTGGTTGAGAGTCCGCCTGCCGATGCAGGGGACATGGGTTCGTGCCCCGGTCCGGGAAGATCCCACGTGCCGCGGAGTGGCTGGGCCCGTGAGCCATGGCCACTGAGCCTGCGCGTCCGGAGCCTGTGCTCCGCAACGGGAGAGGCCACAACAGTGAGAGGCCCGCGTTCCGCGCAAAAAAAAAAAAGGTCAGCCCTCCTGTCAATTACCACCCCTTAACCCTATAATAATAGTGATGCTATAGCTATAACTTATTGACTGCAGCTGATGTACCAGGCTTCAGATAAGCGACTTAGTTGCAAATGAACCCTAGGTGTTGATATGATGTTGAGGATGCGTATGACAGCATTATGCAAATAAGATCATTGAGCTATGAGTCTAGCCAGATTATCAGCAGGACGGGGAGCCAGGATTAGAAACAAAGATGACCTGACTCCTTTTGACTGTGTTCCTTGCTATCTGGGTGAGATGGAGGAAGAAGGAGGACGAAATGGAGGGGAACTGGAGACAAAGAAAGCATAGAATTTATATGGCGGGTGACTTTATTGGGTGAAGTTAGGATCTATGAGGGCTTTTAGAAAACCATTATTTCAAATTAAAAAAAAAAAAGAAAGAATAAGAGGAGAGGAAGAGGAGGAGGTTGCTTTCAAGATGCTAAAACTCACCCAGCACTGAGTGGCTAGAGGCCCTCAGGAAGACGACCGGGGAGCCAAAAGCCAGGGTGGTTTTCAATAAAACAGATGGTTTTCTATTAGGATCCAAACAGAAGAGTTCTTTTTCCACAGGAGACAGGGTGGCTTTGTCTTGAATTGGGGGATGAAGGGGGAGGGGAGCAAATATTTATTAAACACTTGCTGTGTGCTAAGCACCTTACACATCTCCACGACTCCTATGATGCCATCAACCTCCTTAGAAACTTTCAGTGGCTCCCTGTTGTCCACAGAAGAAAACCTGGACCCTATAGTCCAGTATTCAAGGACATCCCAGATCTGACCTGAAGTTGCCTTTAAAAACCAAACCAGGGCTTCCCTGGTGGCTCAGTGGTTGAGAGTCCGCCTGCCGATGCAGGGGACACAGGTTCGTGCCCCAGTCTGGGAAGATCCCACATGCCGCGGAGCGGCGGGGCCCGTGAGCCATGGCCGCTGAGCCTGCGTGTCCGGAGCCTGTGCTCCGAAACGGGAGAGGCAACAACAGTGAGAGGCCCGCGTACCGAAAAAAAAAAAAAAAAAAAACAAACCAAAACAAAACATACAGTTCACATAAATGTCACCATTTTAAAGGGTACATTTCAGTGGATTTTAGTATTCACTACGTTGTGCAATCATCACCAGTATATAATTTCAAAACATTTTCATTGGTCCGAAAAGAAACCCCACATCCATTAGCAGTCACTCCTCAATCTCCCTCCCCCCAGCCCCTGGTAGCCACTAATCTGCTTTCTGTCTCAATGAATTTGCCAATTTTGGACATTTCATATACATGGATCATACGACAGCTGGTCTTTTGCATAGGGCTTCTTTGACTTAGCATAATATTTTCAAGGTTCTTCCATGATGTAGTACATATCAGTACTTCATTCCTTGTTTAGGGCTGAATACTATTCCATTCTGTAGATTTACCACATTTTGTTCATCCATTCATCAGCTGATGGACATATGGGTTGTTTCCACTTTTTGACTATTACGAATAACACTGCTATGAAGATTTGTGTACGCGTTTTTGTACGAACATATGTTTTCAGTTCCCTTGGGTGTGGAATGGCTCCAGTGTGTGGTCAGCCTGTTTCACTTTTTGAGGAATTGCCAGACTGTCTCCCACAGCAGCTGTAGCATTTTACATTCCCACCAGCAATGTACAAGGGTTTCCGTTTCTCCACATCCTTGCTACCACTTGTTGCTTTTCTGTGCGTTGTTTTTTTTTAACAACAACAAGAAACTTTTTTATTATAGCCATCCAAGTAGGTGTGAAGTATCTCATTGTGGTTTTGATTTGCTACCCATGCCCCAATTTTATCAACCCTCACCCACACCCCACGTAATGGGAATAGTAGAGTATAGCACATGGTTAAGAGTCCAAGCTTTACTATCAGGCTGATTTGGATCGAATCTAGGCTCTGCCATCTTGATGGTCACGCAACCTTGGGCAAGTTTCTTCACCTCCCTAAATCTCAGTTTTTCCAACCATACCTTACAGATACAGGAACCCTGTACCCCACCCTCATTTAGTGAAGATTAAATGAAACAATGAATATGAAATGCTTAGTTCAATGCCTGGCACATAGCTCTCAAGAAAATAGTAACTGTTATTAGGAGACTTATTATTTCAAAAATTTCCCTCCCCAGCCTCCCACAATGATTATCAGTAAAGCAACCAGGGCAAGTAGCAAGAGAGAAGGAGAAAAATGCAAGGGCTATGTACAGAATTTATTTCCCAATTCTGAGCATCATCTGAGAGTCATTCTCCCTGTGATAATTGTGAGATCTCCTCCACCAACTTCAGCAGAGTTGGCCGAATGGAGGAGCATCACACCATAGAAACTGCACAGCTGATAATTTCCTAGCACTTTCAGTGTCACCATCTAACCTCATTTAACTGTGGGACTCTGGGTTTAACATGACAGCATGACATTTAACTGGACTATATTTTTATTTAACTTACTGCTACTTGCTAATTTACATTTTGGATATTCTGTGGGCAGAGGTATTACCTCCCCTGAAAGTGATGTGTGTCGTTTCCTAGCACAGTAATTAGCTCACCTTTTGAAGTTGGGTCAATGACATAAGAGTCTTTACTGAGCTAAAAAGTTCTCAAGATTAGTTTTACCAGCCTATGGTTAAACAAAATCAGCCACTTCAGAATTATTCTACCAGAGGTTGTGCACAGCTTCATTCAGCTGTGTGAAGAGTTTTATAATGTTCACTTTTCTGCATTTTATTTGATAAAATCATGATAAGAAGCTAAGGCAAATTCTATTGCTAACTAGATGCACATAATACTTAAGCTAGCCAAAGCTGTAATACTCTTTTAGTACAATTTTCATTTGCTTTAGAATATCAATACATATCACATTGCTTTATCCATTTTAGTCTTCTAAACAGTCAAAGGCCACAAAAAAATTCACCTCTTCTATAAAGCCTTCCCAAACTAAACAGAGATGAACCCAACAAAACATCAACACTTTAGCAGTATCAGCAATAATCTTTGTTCCATCACATTCTGAACATCCCACTCTAAGCCAAGGAAGAGATTTTGTTTTAACTTCACTGGCTATGGGTCTAAGATTGAAGGCCTCAAGTGAGTATAGTTTGAGGTGAAACAGCATGAAGGCTCAACTACTCTAAATAAGATAAAGACAATACTTAGAAAGAGAAACAGCCCCTCAAAATAAGCTTCCTGTAAAGTATGCTCCTTTCCTGCCAGCACACATCTTAGAGGTAATCTCACCCATGGAATGTTCACTATCTACATTTGTTATTTCCCCAAAAATGGATTCATTCAAGATGCAGTGTCCTTACCCCTCCCCCAAGCATCTATCCATCCAGCCATCCAGGTAGCAGTTGCTGTTAGGGATGGTGGATACTTGTGATGCCAATCGGAGTTCTGACACATGGGAAGGAGGAAACTAAAAAGGAATTGGAAAAAAGAAAATGAGTGGGAAATCGGAGAAGAGGAAGGAGCTAGAGTGGGGCAGAGAAGGAAGCATATATTGTAAGGAAAAGTGGAATGTTAGCAGCCATCCAATTTGCTCACTTTTCCTCCCTGTTCACACTTTTTCTGTGTGATATCCACATCTATGTTAGTGACCCATAGATCTGTACCTCCAACTTCAGA